ATTATTATTATATAATTTGCATTTACATTAGGGGTGGCAATCCTTAGATGGAAGCCCAAAATTAAATAATAATTAAACAGCAGCAGCAGTAAAGTTATTTATAATTATTGATCAGTCAGATGTAGTATTATAAAATACAACTAGAACAACATAGAGAATTAAACATGAGAGTAAAAGAACAATAATTAAATTAAAAATGATTGAAGGCCCAGATCTCACAAGTTAATCAAATCTTATGACATTTTAGTATGTTCACATGAGATCTAGTGAGATTTCAGACCATAATGCCAAACTATCGCTGTTGAGAATGTGTTGTTGGTAAGATGTCTGAAATGTCATAAGATTTGATGATCTTGCCAGATTTTGCTCATTATTGATTTATATTTTAGAAGATTCCCACACCATTGACTGAGATTATATGGTGGTACATTCTTTGTTTATTTCCTGATATTCACTGCGTGAAGAGATTTCATGTCCTCCCATTTCCAGGAAGATTGGAAAACTTGGAAGAGACCAAAATATGGGAAATTGTGCTACCATCAGGATGGGACTATGAAGTGGAAGCCCCGAAGAAGGGCTACATATAGCACATTTTCTAGTAAATGGAACACAATAGATTACTATGAAAAAAAAACTTTGCTCAAAGATAATTAAGAATAGAATTACTATACATTCAAACTATGTTCCAAGCAGCCCTGGGGTTCTTTGGACATATTTATGAATTTTTGTAATGGTCAATATATTTTCCAGAAAAACATTCTGCTCTGCATGGCTCATACTGCTCTTCAACTTGCTGCCATGGGTAAAAACTGGGTTAGGGTACCTTCTGTGCCCATTCTTGATCTTGCAATATCATTCACCCAAGTATTTTTCCAAATGAGAATTGTTCTCCCCAGAATTCTCCCCAGAATTCATGGTGGATATGGTTCCTTGGAAGACCTCATATACTTGGGTTCTTTTTATAGCATCTGCAAATCATGTGTGTTGTGTGTCTGCTAACGTGATTGAAAAAGTTATTTGATGTCCATTTTGGTAGGCAGGAAAAAATAATTGCTAAAGAAAACTTTTGTAAGTTTTGTACCGGAGAAATCGATTCCATAAGTACTTCAAGGCAATGCAAAAGTTAATGTCTTTTTCTGAGCAATTCAACATCTTCAGGAATGACCAGGAGCTTAATAAGCCACTAGAAGGAAAAGAAATCAATTTACTAATTTACTTTTCCAAAGGTTGTTTCTTCCTCATGCTTTCTTATATAACTGTATTGTTGATGAAACCACAACACAAAATTAGTCACATGCTATCAAAAAGCAAATATCCTAACTTCATAATGCCAGTTTCCCCTTTCCTTCATTGAAAGGTAAAGTTCTCTTTCCTAAAACAAGAATATTTGCTGCCTAATAATTGGGAGATTATACTATGCTATTATGGCTTGAATTGCTTACACATATCCCCCACCCGACCCCCCAGTTCATATATTCTCAACGTGCGGGCAGATTAATGGTGAAAACATTATTTCAAATCACCTGCTTTGAAACTATCTAGGTGAACACCTAGGTTCTGGGTTCAGAAATGCATTAGTCCTATTGGATGGGAATTCCAGAAATTAGAGTTCCAACATACTGGGGGGCATCAGAATGGAAGAGTTGGGAATAGGTTTGTGATCTACCTTCAAGGCAGGAGACAGAATGGAGATGGCTGGTAGGTCACTGTGGTTGGGCTTAGTTGATTTGGCAACTACCTCTGGGCAAAAAGGAGATTGCTAAAGGGTAATCTGGATTTAGGATGGAAGAAAAAAGGTAAAAGGGGAGGTGGGATGAAAGCTGAACTGCAGTGTTGGTGCATATCAGGAAAAGGTCCACAAGAGAAGGCAAGGTGCAAATTCTGAAGGTTCTTCTTAATCTAACTTGATTGTCCAGCAGCCTTAGGTTTGGCGTCATAAGTCAGGAAGGTTTCTGAGCCTGTGATTGTCTCCTCTGTGTTGAAGCTCAGGCCTTCTCATGAATTGGGAATAAAATGATCTATAGGACTGCAGTTAAGTACCTGTGAGATTGTACATCTCTACTAACTTCAGCAGTGTCCATTTTGCTATTAAGGGCCCGATGTTGTAAATGTCTGCAGGGAGCAAGTGGAGGAAAATGATGATCTCACATGCATCTTGTTGTCATCATGCAAATGACACACTGCACATCATTTGTGCTATGAGGGGACTGGTACAAATTACATTATTTGCATGATGACCTGAGTATAAGGAGGAAGGAAGGGTTCAGAGTGACTCTATCTGCATTTCTTACAAGGATATCCAATAGTAATATTTAAAGAGACTATACCTTTTCCCAAAAAGCTGTGATTTGCTTTGTGGGCAGGATTTTTTTCATTTTTACAGAGCTAGCATGTGAGAAGTGACATTTTATTTATGTATTTGTTAGGTTTATATCCCACCATTCCTAAATTCTTGTTTCACAGTTTTTCCCACAAGAACCAGCTTGTGAGATAGACTGGGCTGAAAAAGAGTGATTGGCCCAAAGTCTTCCATGGCTGAGGGAAACTTGAACCTGGGTCTTCCTGGTGCCAGTCCAACACCTGAACCCAGTGTTTCTCAACCATGGCAACTTGAAGATGCGTGGACTTCAACTCCCAGAATTCCCCAGCCAGCATGGCTGGTTGGGGGAATTCTGGGAGTTGAAGTCCACACTTCTTAAAGTTGCTGAGGGCGAGAAACACTGCCTTAACCATTACACCATTATCATTAAGGTATATCTTTACTGTGTTTGATGTTGACATATATCAACAGAATGTGCCCCTGAATGTTTGCCTAACAGGCCCCTTGTCCTGCCTGACTTTTGCATTTTAAAATATTGCTTTGATGATAAAATAAGGAATGCTGACATATTGCATAGCAAAGTACCTGACTCCAGAATTACTTTCATTTCCGAAAATGCTTCTGGTCCAAGATGGGCTCCCTATACTGTTTTTGTTTGGGGGGGGGGGGAGATGGACACCTGAAACCCAAGCAGGGATAGGAGGAAACATTCTGGAGGGGGTGGGACTAGATGGAGTGGTAGGTAGCATTCTTATGGTGGCCATTTTGGAGTCTATGACAGCTGCAGTGTGAATGGGCAAGCTGCCCCAACAATATGGCCACAATATGTTCCCAAACGTCCAGGTGTGCCCACCAGTCCAAAAGGTTGGGGACCTCTGAATTAATATATGTGGAGACATATCTGGTGTATTTGTGAGAGAGAGGTGAAAAGTGTGTGTGTCTCATACCCTTTTCCATTTTTACATGAAATATTTCCTTTCTTCATTTACTGCAAGAGTAGCTCCACCACAGATGGGAGCAGGCTGGTTGTGGGAAGTTCTACTTCCTTTATCTAGATAATTTGACCAGCCTGGCCTGCTATGCACTGCGACTTAACAGACAGAGGTCATTTGCTATTTTGACTTGGGCACTAAGACATCTTTGGCTGACTGACGTTTGTTGAAATTATTACCTTATAAATAAAAGACAACTACTTCTTGGTGATGATCTTTTTCAAGTATGTATGTTTTATCTACCATTTCTTATAAGCTTGTGGAATTCAAAAGCATTGAAAGCATAGAGTTACACATTTTTCTATTCTTTGTTACTCCATAAAGTTTCATAATTTTACTCTAAACCAATCTTGTGTGTCAACAAGTTGAAACTGTATTCTTTCATATGAAAATTGTAGTATAGTTTTTGAATAATTAACTTTTTAAAATTTCTCCCAAATTCATACAGTGCCAATATGATAAGAATGGGTTTTGAAGAATTTCTTTTAACATTATTTGGTATGCCCCTGATAAATATTACAGGTAATTGTGGAATAGACCTTTGCTGAATTTAGAAGTGCCCACAGGGTGTTGTCAAAAAAGCCAAAATGGTGCCATGATGGTGCAATTGAAGCTTGGCCCAGTTTTTATGCGCATCATGAGTGCAACGCACATTAAAAGTGGGAGGAGCTGTAGTCACATCATTGGGGCTGCCATCTTGACTTTTTTGACAATATGCTATGGACACTCCTGGTCAAATTACAGGCAGGAGACTCATATGATTCCAGTAGGCAGTGAACTAGTATTTTTAGTAATAAGGCTGGATAATCATACTAAATAATTGGACAATTTAAGTCATCATTAATATAAAAGAAAACTGAAAATAACCCTTTTGGAAACTTGATGAAGAGTTTCTTCCTTTTTTCTATCCTACAAATTCATTGTTAACTGATACCATTTAATCAGTGGAACCATTGGTATTGATATGGCTCTCTGTGCAGACAATGCAAATTGTGCTGCCATGAGATTTTAGACACTGAACACACACATATCCACATGCAAAGCTTCAGTTAGCTTAAATGTGTGATAAAGAGGTAGGTGTGGGGAATGGTGGAAATTGCTGATAATATTTGACTTACCTAATGATGAAAAATGTGTCAACGCCTAAATAAAATGGCCCACTTCGAGAAAATATGTAGATAGGATTTTTTAATACTTTAGCTTCCCATTCCAGCACGTTATCTGTAGCAACACACATAAGAAGAGAACAGAAGTAAGGATTTTTAGATAGGCATTTACCAAAGACATTTATTTTTAAACATATAGAGACCCACGGATCTAATCAGAGCAATCTTCACAACATCAGGCGTATACGTTTTTTGAAAGAAAATGTACTATTTATTTTAAGCATTTTTATCCCACGTGTTATCTACCTTTAAGCAGCTATCTCGACTTAGAAAAGAAGCTGGATGGGTTCCCCTCTGGAGCTCTATGTCACTTAGGAAGTAAGAAAACAACACAACAGAACAATATAGATTATTTTAAAACCGTAGGAGCAGATGCGGGGTAAAAAAGGTGGTAGATAAATTAAAGATTCTTATTTGGTTCACAAAAGCAGATTGATTGATAGATTTAAATTTATTCCTCATCTTTTTAGGTATGGGGTGCAAGGGGAGTATCATCAGGGAGAATTGTCCACAGGTAATAGGGACAGCAACCCAAAATGTCTCTACTCTGGAGAAATCTCTTGGGTGATGACTATAGCAGAGGAACGCAGCCATTCAGGTTTATTCTCCTTAATCTTGTTTAAGCTTCACCTGAGTCCTGAAAATTCTTGCCAAGAACAAAATGCTACACAACATCCCTATATTTCTGCTTTAAATGGATGGCTTTCATTCAGAGATGTAACAGATGAAAAAGAGATGGAACATAAGTTGCTGCCTAAAGGATAGATGCCAACTTCACCCGGATGCTCCCTGAAATTATGGTGATGAACTCTGTTCATATGTGAAAAGATCTGCTGGGGGCATCCTACGACTATTAATCAACAAGTCACAGCCCATCAGCCATAACTCAGAATATTAACTATGAAATAAAACAGCAATTTCTTTAATATGAGTGTACAAACACAGCTGGGCAAACTGTAGCCCCAGGACTATGTTGTTCCTGAATCTCTTTTTTCTTGGCCTTCAAAGTCTTCTCTGATCATGACTGTTAGACACTGATGACATCGTTTTCTGCCATTCTTAGCCGAGAATCAGATGAAAACAATACTGTAGGCATTAAAACAGTAAAAAGTCCCAAAGCCCAGTCTCAGCGGCATGTGATATAGCACACCCACTTCATGGTCTTTGGCTTCTCCCTTCAGTATGACGAATGGTCCTTGGCTAGTAAAAATTTGCTTATGCCTGCCACAAAGAGATTGAGTTTAGATGAGAACTAGCTTCACTTTGGCACCTCCAGCTCATACCTAAGTTCTGCCATGCTGTCATTTGGCTTGTATGTCCAGAAATGATCCATAGAAGACTTACTGCCCTGAGACCGTTTAGAGCCGGGGAGACCTCCTGAGAAGGTTGGGTCAGCCAAACAGCTGGAAGATTTTTTTGCAAGGAAAAACACTTCAGAACATAATCCAAGGTACCTAAAATACCCAACATACAAAACATCTGTTTTAATTCATTAATTGTAGCACATGTTATATTCATTCCTGAGCAATGTTCTAAAGCATGAATAAACTTAATTGTGCCAATGTAAATATAATAAAGTATCATCAGTTTTCTAACAGGTAGGAAACAACACATGAGGTTAGGCAAAACTACATCCGGTACCT